CACACACACACACACACACACACACACACACACACACACACACACAGAGGGCCTCTTAAGGAAGGCCTCTGGCACTGTTTATCTCAGTTAACTGGAACGGCTGGCTTGGGACAGACCAAGGGGTGAGGCAATAGCCGTCCGCACGCTGTGCTTGTTGGACGCGGGACTTGCCCTGTGTCAGCATCTGTGTTTTGTTTTGTTTCTTATTTCACGGCGATTTCTTTTGTTTGGTCGTTGTGCCATTAACACGGGTTCTTGTGTGTGTGCCTCTCTCTCATCCTTTCTTTTTTCTCTCCCTCCCTCCCTCTCTCGCCTGCACCCCGTGTTGCATGTGGCTGCCCCAGGGAGTAAAGGGCCAACCAGGCGAGAAGGTGAGTCCACACTTTCCCCTCTGCCCTTCCGTCCCAGCCTTGGCTTCCACCCTGTGGACTCTTGGGGGTGCTTTCAGAGGCCCCAGCTCAGCCCCCCTCCTGGCACACAGGCACAGCAGAACTGCCAGCTGGGCCTGCTGTGCCCTCACAGCCTCTCACGGCCCAGTTTCCTAACAGCTTCAGGCAGGAGACGGGATTCCTGGGCTAAGGCCCCGGCTTCCCTGGCTGAGTGGGTGTCCCCTGCCCGCTGAGGCTGCCGGTGGCCTCGGAGCTCTGATTCCCAGCCTTAGGCAGTCGCCTTTCCCAGAGACAAGAAGAGTGCCAGCCTGTTTTATGTGGGGTGCAGCATCCTGCCCTCCTCCCAGCAGGATGCAGTCGGGGTCCTTCTGTCAGCATCACCTGTCACCCCCATCTGTGTTCCATACACCCTCCATCCTCCTTCTGTTGCCCCTCCCCCACCAGATTCTGGCCCGGACTTAACCCCTCTGTGTCACTGTGAAACCAGGACTAGGAAGTTCCAGGCAGCTCCAGCCTTCAGGCCCAGGGCTGCTGGGCCCACACAGCAAGTGCGAGTCTTGTGCCCACTCCCTAGTTTCAGCAACTCCACCCATGGGGCAAGCCTCTGTTCACCAGTTGCAGGGTGTGCAGCCCCATGAGTATTTGGGGCTGAGGGTGAGGAAGAAGATGCGGTGTGTGTGTGGGGGGGTGTTGAAACTTGAGTGGGGCTGGGGCAGGTTGGAGAGTGTCCTGAGCAGGGCCATGGGGAGAGGCATCTGGGGCCTGAGCAGCCATGGCTGAGCTGTGTCCCCTCCCTCTCTCCCTCCCTGTGCCTCCCTCTTGCCCATCACCGCACTGAATCCTCTTCTCCCTGCTTCCGGCCCGGGGTCCTCCTGCCCTCTTTCCCTGGTCCACACATCTTATGCTCTTGCTATGTCTCCTCCTGCTTCCCTGATACCCTCATTGATCCCTCCCGGGTGCCCCGTTCATTCCCTCTGCATCTCTTCTCCTCTGATCCCTCCTCTTCCTCCGCATCCTCTGGTCCCCTGTGTCCTTCCGCCTCTGGCTGGCACCCCACCCTCACCTGTTCCTTCTTCCCCACCTGCCAGCCCCTCCCTTTCACTCTTCTTTTCCCACCCCTGTCACCTCCTGCCCCTGTCCCCTCGCTCCTCTCCCTCTCTTCACTCTCTCTTCCATAGGGCGCCCCAGGAGATGCCGGGATGTCCATCATCGGTCCCCGCGGCCCCCCTGTAAGTGTCTTTTGCTTTTCTTGGGGGTGGGCAGGTTGGATGAGTTAATGAAAAGGGCTTGGGGTGGAGGCAGCTCTAGCCTGGGCTGTGCCCCTGGGTGTGGCGGGCATTATATGGATGTGGTCACCAGGCCGGGCCTTGGTGCTGCTGTTGATGTTAATGAGAATGGTCTGACTAAATATACCTAAATTACAGCCTCCTGGGAGGGTTTGCAGGGGCCTACCCACTGGCCACAAAACTACAGCAGCTGCAAGGTGGCCCTGCTGTTTACAGGCAGAAGAAAAACGCGTTTGCTCTTGTCCGGGGGGCGGGGGGGGGGGGGCTCCAGTTCAGGGGACAAGCCTTGTTTCCGGAAGCCCATGGAGCAGAAACCCAGAGTCCAGATTCCTTGATTTGACACCCACTCCTGGTCCTGGCCGAGGCCTGACCCACGACTCGCCTTGCTCAGCCTGGGTCCTGTGTCTTAGTCCCTCCACCCAGTGCCTGGGGGCTTGGGAAAACCAGAAAGGATTTTATTCAGAGATCACCAAAAGGGTGATGTGGGTGATGATGCAGGAAGATATTGTGACTCTGGGAAGGAGGACAGGCTGTTTTTCTCAAAGAGTGCCGGAACTACAAGGCTGTAATAAAATCACCAAATGTCATGGTGGAAAGGACCTCAGCTATGGTCTAGCACAGCCCTCTCAGAAAGGGAAACTGAGGCCCAGAGAGGGGACGGGACTTGGCCAGGGTCCCCCACATACAGGCTGAGTCAGGATTAGAACACAGGAGCCCTGGCACCAACGGCTTCCACCACAGCAACAGGCCACTGTTTCCATGCTCTGCTGTGCGCTTTTCCTGACCTTCCATGCACTGAGAGAGTGAGGGGAGCAGAGGGCTAGCCTCTGGGAGTCTGAGGCTAGCCCAGTGATGGATGAAGTCTGCCCATCCCCCTGCCTTCAACAGAGAGAGCCAGTGGAGGCAGGAGTCTCCCCTACCCAAAGTCTAGGGAGAGGGGTCAGAGAGCAAATTACATCCAAAGGAGGGAGCTATGACGAACTAAGCAGCCAGGGAGGGACTGTGGGGAGAGCTGGGAGCTGAAAGGTCGAGCCAATCGGACTGCTTGGAAACTGAGGAAGGTCAGAGAAGGGAGCTGAGGGCTGGAGCTAGGGAGCAGGGCAGGCATGCTAGGGGCCTGGGCTGGAGGCAGGATTTGAAGGATTCTGGGCGACATAGACGCGGCCTTCTTGGCAAGGTTCCCTCTGGCTCAGGCCACAGCAATAATGCTAAGGGCTGATAGTTGGCACTTACTCTGTGGCAGGCAGTATCCTAAGATTTTTACGCATAGTAACTCACTTTATCCTCCCAAGAGCCCCACAGGTAGGTATTGTTAGCACCTCTGTGTTATAGATGAGATAAGTGAGGCACAGAGAGGTGGAGGGACTTGCCCAAGGCCATACACTGGAGTGTGGTCACGCTGGGATTTGATCACTCAGCCGAGCTGAGTGGCTCAGAGTCTGCACTCTGCACCGCACTGCTACCACAGACCACCAGGCCGCTGGGTTACTGTTCATGATTCTGGGCTCACATGGCCATAGGCCCTGTGGGACAGGAAGCCTCTTTACGTTTTGGGGGAGCCCCACTGTTCCTGAGGAAGGTGGTGCCTAGCCAAGGGGGGCAACTGGGAGATGGGAAGTTTACAGAGAAAGACAGACCCCCAGGTCTGATGGCAAGGACTGAGCCTGGGGTGGGCCTGTTCGGACAGGGAGTAACACAGAATACAAGTCCTACCTGTTGGCCACCATCCCTGCCTCATGGTCTGACCACAAATGTTCCATTGTGTCAATCATATTGGTCCTCTAACACCCTTTTAGCAACATCTTTCAGCAGCATCACGTCAATAGGCTACCTGAAAGTTGTTGAAAGGCCTCACTTCTGCAGAACATGCTCAGGGCAGTGGTCTGCTTCCCTCCCCTGGCTTCCAGCCCCATTAGTCATAAATCTAATCAGCAACATGCCTCCCTCGTTGGATTTGATTCCAATGGTGAAAGCACCTTCTATTCAGGTAACAGCAATGACATCTGTCTCCTGGGCACCTAGTGTACCCTATGTCCAGTGCTGAAAGCTCGTGTATGTGCCAGTCTCTTTCAACAAAGCTGGGAGGCCCGTCCTGCCAGCCCATTTCACAAAGAAGGAAACTGAAAGTTTCATAACTACTTGTGGTTACCCAACTTGGGTTGGGCCAGGTCGGCCTCATTCCAAAGCCAGCGTTTTTTCCCCAATACCTCCTTCCATGTTTTAAGCTCTACTATTTAAAAAGGATATTAACTTTAAGGAGAAAAGGTGTTCTCCCTGTGGGTGCTGTGTGGTGCCAGGAGAGGTTTTATAGCACCAACAGGCTTGACCAAACCCAATGTCCTCCAACTTTGGCCTGTGTGGGTGACCATCACCCAAATGGCTGTGGCCACCCCTGCTGAGTCTTCACTAGACACCAGGGCAACCCCTTCATTCCCCCCTGCCCCTCGAAGCCACATAGAGCTGGTGAGAGCAGGGGACCAGGGAAGACAAAGGGGCCATTTGTTATTAAAAGGCAGAAGTCAAGTGGGCAAGTTCTCTGTGGCCGGAGATGTTGGGGAACATGTATTTCCACTTGGCTAGGAAGGGCCCAGCATACATGCTGCTAATAAGAACCAGCCTTACTGCCCTCAGGAGCCACCTGAACTCTCTCTTAGAACTTCCTAAATGGTCTGAGCAAAGGGGAGTCAAAGCTGCTCCAGGCACTTTGGAGAAGGATGGCTCACATTCCAGTGAAGCAAGATGCTGGAGCAGCTACCCCATTAAACTGAGGAGGAGGCTGGGACCTCAAGACACTGACTGGCTCAGCAGGAACTGGGAAGGTCACCTGCCAGGCTAGGAAATGTCCCCCTTCTCAAAGGGAGCTCAGTCCCTCCCTGAAGCATCCAGGTTCTCCACAGGGGCCGGGAGGAGCTATCTGAAATTGCAGCCCTCATTCACAAGGATATACCCCCCTCCACGTTGATAAACCTGTTGAGTGTTTCTTGGCTTATTTATTCCATTCATGTTTGTTAGGCACCTACTGCATGCTAGGTACTGGGTAGGCAATGAAAACCTGACTGCCGCCAGCTGGCCCCTTTGCTAAGAGACCAGCAATCCCATAGAGATGACAATCCAGGCTGTCAGTGCTCAGCCGGGGCAGTTAGGAAGCTGTGGAGATAGGGAGGAGGCACCCAACTTGGGGTAGGCGCAGGCAGAGAGGCTTGCGGGAGGAAGGGATAACTAAACTGTGATCAAGGATGAGCAGAGGTTCCCTTGGTACTAGGCTGGGGAGGAGGACCAAGCCCCCAAGGCAGGAGGGGTTCCTATAAACTACTGAAGAAACGGGGAAGTTCTTTCCAGAACAAAGAGCAAACTAAGGGTGAGGCTGGTGAGGTTGAGCGAGGGCCGGATCATGAAGGACCCAAACAGGAGGCTCAGGAGTTAGGACTTTTTCCCAAGGGCAGTGGCGAGCCCTGGGGTTGTGTTCAGCTGACAAGGGACATGACCAGATTGTCAGTTTAGAACGATCTCCTGGTCCTCCCTGCTCCAGTGTGAAGCATGTTTAGAAGGGGCAGCGTGTGGGGGCCTGGCTGGAAGGCACCTGCAATAATGGAGACCTGGAGCACAGTCCGTGGGGCTGGTTAGGAGGGCTGCTCTGGCGAGATAGTTTGGAGGTGGAATTGATGGAATTTAGTGGTGACAAAAGTGGGGATTGAGGGAGAAAGAGGAGCTCAAGATGACCTTACCTTTCTGACTTCAGTAACGGAGTGGATAGTGGTGCCCTTCTCTGGAGGGAGGAGTGGAGATGGGTTTAACCTGAACGTGATGAATTTGAGTTGTCCTGTAATATCCAAGGCGAGCTGTGTGGCCCTCCATTTGAGGTTAGAGGGCCTGGTGTGCTGACCTGGCTCACGCCCGCTCACAAGAGCCTGTCACGCACACCCTTCCCCAGTCTGCGTTCAGCGGCATCACGGTGGGAGCTTGAATTCGGCCATGGTGGGAGTATTTACACCACAGAAATGGGCAAATGCTATACAAAGCAGGGGTCTCCTCTCCTCTCCACTGCCCCCGCCCCACCGGCCAGTGATTAAACACCAGCACAGAGTCTTGTTTGAAAGATAATCAGCACTTGTTTAAAAGATTTCAGAGGGGGAGGTAAAATGAGCAGGCTCAGGGCAGAATGCAGTGAGCCTCTTTCAGGGATCAGATGGGCGGGAAGGGAGGGTTCCTGGGAGGCTGTTTCTAACCAGAACCTTCTGTCTGTTCGTGTTGCTTTACCTCACAAGTTGCAGGTAGCAGGAAGGTAGGAAGGAGTGTTCCCTTCCAAACAGTGGGGGATCCACTTGTCTCCCTCTCCACCCCGGCCTTGAGATAAGGGAAGAGCTCTCAGGGAGCAATGGAAAGCCTACTTCCCTTGCTCTTGTTTAGAAGGATGTAATATTAATCTACAAATTACTCTACAAATCTATTATCCACAGTTTTAATATGATCCTAATCCAAGTGAATTTTTATGGGGTTGGGAGGCCAACAAAATAATATTCAACTTCATTTAGAAAAAATAAGTTGTGAGGATGTCAGGAAAATTCTGAAAACTAGGTTAAGGGATAGTGAGGAGGAACTAGTTGTTCTACTAGATATCAGAATGTATCATAAAAACAAAGCAATTACAACTACATGTAAAATAGAATGGGGAGACCAGAAATAAAGCTGAATGCATCTGGGAAATTGGCCCATGATAAAGGCTTCATTTCACAATAGAAAGAGAAAAATAGATTATTCAGGAAATGATGCTGGGACAACTGACAACACCAATTAAAAAAAGGTAAAACAAAATAAAACAAGAAATAATTTTTTAAAAGCTGAATCTCTGTATCACTTGTTATATCAGAATAAATTTCAAATGGATAAAATACTTAAATGTAATACATGAAAACCGAAAATACAAGGACAAAGCAGGAGCAAACATTTAATAATTTTCAACTGGGGAAGGCCCTTCAAAACATGACATAAAATCCAGAAACCATGGGAAAAGATGGATAAGTTTGTCGACATAAATGTAAAACTTCCATATGGAAAAAAAATGTCATAAAAAAGACAAATGCCAAATTGGAAAGAATATTTGCAACACATACGATTACCAAAGAGTTACTGGCTTGATGAAGAGTTTTGCTCAAATCAATAGGAAAAAGAAAAACAGCCTAGTATAAAACGTTGGTGAAGAATACAAACAGGCCATTCACAAATAAATAGGACCAGCAATAAACATCGGAAGAGATGTCCAACCGCAGCATAGAATTGGAGAGATGTAAATTAAAATCCAGTTCCAAGTCTCTCCAAGTGCCTACCCAGGCCCAACCCCTCCAGGAAGTAGAGTGCCCGTTTCCATTTGGTCAATGACAACATTCTTCCCCAAATCCCTGAAAAAGCCTTGGTTAGCCCTGGATTTGGCTCTCGGTTGGAGAGATGCATCCTGCTCTCAGGGCAGGCTCTGTAATTAGCAAACCGTGTGATTATCCCTACCACGTAAACATTAGCTGGAGTGGGACTTGAAGATGCTTCTTGGAATCCTCTCCTCCTGACCTTTTCTTCAGGCCCCTCGGCGTTCAGAATCGAAAGTTTACACTGGGAGGGAGGTTTCAGAGGTTACATTGCACGGTTTTTGGGTTTTCTCCTTGGTGCTATTCTTAGCATCACTTATCCTTGAGAGGAAAGAAACCCGGGGCCCTGCTGATATGAGTAGCATCTCCCCCCCTCTTGCTCTTTGGATACCTGCCACAAGCCTATCCTGAGCCTGCAGCTCACTTCAGCTCACTCCCTGATCGACCAGTGCACCCACTCTGACGGCAGGGTCCCCATCCCATCCAGCCACAACCCCTGAGCAGAGGCCCCTGCCACTCAGGAGGACCCAAGCAGCCTGGGGATGTTTCAGGTTCATGGCAGATGGATCCAGAGAAATCTTCCTCTGGATAGGGTCTGATTCTGAAACTACTGCTTGGCAAGGACACACCTTCAACCTCCATAGATACTAAGATGTATTGGGCTTGAAAGCCGCCTTGCTTTATTCTGGCGCTCTTAGGTTCAGTTCAACCCAACAAACACCTGAGGATGGCAGCTACCATGTCCAAAGGCTTCACCAACATAATTGAACGTAATTCAATGACCTTATGAGATTATACTGTTATCCTCATCCTTTAGATGAGGTAACTGAGGCACAGAGAGGTTAGACAACTTGCTCAGAGTCACGCAGCCATCACTGGTGGAGGCTGCCAGACTCAAAAGCCCAAGCTTGGGAAGAGATTGTGGCTATTTCGGTCAAGGAAGGACTCCAAGATGAGAGCGAAGCAGCTGAGAGCTGAAGGATGTGCGTCTGGGGCAAGGCAGGTGAGCCACTGTGCCTGAGCAAAGAGCAGGTGGGGAGATGGAGCAGGAAAGGACCTGAAATGGCGGATCTGGTGACATTGAGGATGATCCTGAATGACGTCTGAGCAGAAGAGAGCCTCTGCTGGTGTTGACAAGAGGAGTGGCAGGATTCCCGTTTCTTAGCTCTCCGTTTCCCTTGAACGCCCTGCTCAGCGTTCCCTGCCCTGGATCTGCACAGCTTCATGCTGCTTCTAATCTCTGCACATCTCTTTTGTCCTGATTCTTGAGCCTAAACCAGTGGGCTGTGACCAGTGAACCTACTTCTAGCCTCCAACCTGAATACCTATCTGTGGCCCTCCACGCCTCCAGGACACTGGTCATGAATTGGTCTGCGTCCTGCAAAGATGGGGGGATCCAGAGATTGCCCAGCTAGGGAGGCCTGCTGGCCCAAGTGAGAGGAAAGTGAGCAAGCTGACCTATTCTGGCCTGAAACCACTCATCCTGAAGGTCAAGTTTTAATACCCATTGATATCCAAATGATCCTCAGATAAGTGGCCCTGAGCAATGTCTATGTAAATAAAAAGGACTTAGAAAACCGCAGTGCAAGCTTTCAGTGTGCTGCGGGCCGGGTCCCCGCTATCCTCTCCATAACCTGTTTACATGCTGAGGTTCAGAGCATCCACAGCAGTGAGGACTTCTCGGGGGGTGGGGGGTTGGGGGTTGGGGGGGTGGGGGGCTACTTCCCAAGAAGACCCAAAGGATGCTGGCCGCCTCCTTTCCCCTTCCCACCCCCAGCCCCTGGAAGAGATAACCTACCATGTTCCACTTCCATCTTTATCCCCGCTCCCAGCCAGTTCACCGTGGTAAATGTCTCCCCCGGATAATCACAGAGGAGTGGGAGGGAGACCACAGCCCCTCTCTGAACAAAGGTGAACCAGGGAACTAAGGATTAGTTTCATCTTCTCCTCACCATCCTCACCCCTCTCCGTTCTTTTCAGGGTCAGCCGGGCACTCGAGGTTTTCCTGGATTTCCGGTAAGTGGGGAGGGCTGAGGCTAGCTGTGTCCCCGATGCCCCCCGGGCCTGGCTGGGTTCAACTTGATGCAGGGCCAGCCCTGAAGCTACTCTTGCTCTTCCAAACCCTGGTCAATAAGGACCCTCTCCCGCAGCCTCTCATGGAGAGCAGTCGAGGAGACGAGCTCAGCACTGGGCTCCTAGTGCAAGTGAGGACAGGGAAATTAATATGGAAATAAAAGGGTGCAGCACCAGGACAGGCAAGTGACATCACAGGCTGGTAAACCCCAGCAGAACACTGGAATGTGGAACAGGAGCTCACTGCGGGGACACAACCTCCGACCTGGCTGTGAGAGGTGAGCCTCCTGGAGGAGGCAGTGAGGTAGCTGTCTGGGTGTCCTTTGACCCCTGCCTCAGGGCCCAAGACAGGTCCTAAGAGGGAGATCAGAGGAGCAGCTAGTTCCCTTTTCTACAGGCCTCAGTGCTGGCCAGCCCTGACTTTCCAGGAACACATCATCCACTCTCCACCCAGGGCGAGGCAGGGGTCTGGATGGTGACGGTGACAGCCCCCATCAGGTCTTCCTCGTGCAGGGCACCTGGCACTGCGCTTGGCAGATGGCATCTCACTCGCTCCTCACAAGGACCCTTTGTAGAAGGTCCATTGTTCTCCTCCCCATTTTAGGATTGGAAACTGAGGCTTAGGTTTACCCATAGTCACATGACCAGTGAGTGGTCAAGCAGAGATTTGAACCCTAACTGTTGGAAACTTACCCACTGCCCCAGGCTGCCTCTTCAGCAGGGGACCTTGGATGTTCAGTCTTTACATCTGTCCTCTTTCTGCTTTCAGGGTCCCATTGGGCTAGATGGCAAACCGGTGAGTAGACCCTCTTGGGCTGTGGGTCCCTCAACCTTCACTCGGTCCAGGTCACTAACCCAGCATCTTTTAGTCTTTCTGCAAGACCCCAGATCGCTGGAAGAAGCTTCGGATAGAAGAATGGTCCTGGGGCAGAAAGGCACTGCCAGTGGGAAAGGGAGGAGGGGCCATGTGAATGAATTGCCCCTGGCCCCTGGGGGTCTCCCTACTGTCATCAAGCTGGGCTCTCAGCTTCAGGAGCATTTGGTGATGCTGGGGTGCTCCTGGAAGGGAGATGGGGAGGGAGTGAGGCAAGGAGGCAGCCGGGCCAGAAGAGGGGTAGAGGGCTCAACAGCTGATTCTAAAAGAAGCCTGGGCACTCGCTCATACCCTTGCCCCCCAGCACAGCCAGCGCACCTTCTGTGTCTCCCATTCTCCCGGGGTCTCTCATCCCAGTTGAGACCCCCACACACATGTCCAAGTCTGCATGGAGGCCGCTTTCCTGTCCTTTCTTTGTTCATGTCAATCCTTTTAACTTGTCCCCAGACACAAATGTTCACGGAGGAAAGGAGACCCCTCCCCACTCTTAGAAAGGAGTGAGCTGGGGGAGAGCTCAACACTCCAATGCCCTCAGAGACACCCCCCAACGAGTGAAGGCAGTGGGTGCCAATCCCAGCCCCACCTAACTCTTCTCTCCTCTGAGCAGCTGGCATCCTCTCAGATGAGGGGTCCGGCCACTACCTGGCCACTCCGCCCCTGTAGGCCAGAGCTAAGCACAGCAAGGGGACTGTGGTAGCCATGTCCATTCACCTCATGGGACCTGGTAATGGAGGGAGGGGCCACATGTGGCAGGGTAGGGGGACTTCTGGGCTGCACACAATGTGCTTGACACTCACGCTGTTGTCCTTCCAGGGCCAACCCGGACCAAAAGGGGAGATGGTAAGACACCAACTTTCCTGTCTTCCTTCTGAGGGGTGGGGGACGGGCCTGGCCCCCCTGGGCCACAGCCAAGCACTGCCTGGCAAAGGGGGCCAACAGGGACAGTGGGAGTGGCTGCCCCCATGGTCACTCCCCAGCTGTATACAACCCATCCCCCCAGGTCCTCACATCAGTGCAGGGAGGCGAGGCTGGCAAGGGGCTTCTTCACATGAAAAACGAGGAAAGGGAGGTGCAGTGAGCCTCCACACTTGCCCAGTGTCACGCGGAGTTAGAGGATACCACTCCCTCGGGTCTGAGCTCGCAGTCAGCATTCACACTGGGGGCCTCGGAAGCCCATCCAGCACTTCACCTTGGCCTGATTTCCTCCTGCCAGCCTTGCTCTGGGCTGCCCCAGGACTCCAGGCGCTCCCGTCCCGGAGCACAAAGCAGCCTTGGAGAAGCAGACTGCGGCCCCCACCTTCCTCCTGGCCCCTTTCACCTCTGCAGAGCCTTTTAAAGGAATTTCCTCTCTCTACAGTCTTCCCCGGGCCATTCCTTCTAGAAGGGGAAGGCCTGTCCTTGTCAGGCGCCTAGAGGTCAGCTCTCAGTGGGACTGATGGGCCATTAAGAGTGGATGGGCCAGCGCTGGCTGGGATGCTGTCCTGCCTCCGAGTATCCCAGCTACACTGTGAGGAGCCACCTCCTGTGGACAGGCCTGGGATTTGTGCTGGGTGTGAGAGCAACGTGGCAGGCTCCCCGTCTCCCTGTCCAGCCAGGTTCTGGGCTCGGGCCTTGCTCCAAGTGCTGTATGAGGCCACTCTCCACCAGTGGGGCATTGCCAGGGCTCATGAGGCCAGAGCCCTGCCTGCTAAGGGAGGCGGATAACCTTGTGGGTGGAAAAGGAGACGGAGGAGTGTTGGCTGGGAGGCCTGGGCTTTAGCCCCAGCTCTCCCTGGCTTGCCATGGGAACCTCGGCAACTCAGCTCCCTCTGGACCACAGCCTGTCTGCTTGGCTCAGACCCAACTCACGTTTATTGAAGGCTTTCTATTTGGTGGGCATGGGGCTAAGTGCTGTACATATATCATCTCACTTAATCCTCAGCATGACCCTGTGCTCTGGGTCCTATTAGTACCCCCTTTGACAGCTGTGGAAATGGAAGCTCAGAGAGACTAATTTGCCTAAAGTCACACTGTTACGGAGCATCCAAAACAAGATCCAAATAAGTTCTCGATTCCTTCCCTCCACATTTTATTTCCTTTCTCTCTCCTTATTTCCCTCTCTCCTTCCCTGTCTCCCCACCCCCTTCCTTCCTTTAACCCATGTTTATTCAGTATCTACACTATGCCGGGCACTGTGCCAGGTGCTGAGGATATGGACAGAGGTAAGGAAGACTCTGTCCTGGCTACCCTGTAGCTCACCTTGGAGTGGGGGAGACACCCATTTAAATAATCACTCAATAATTAACGAATTGCCTTTGCAATCAGTGCCAGGAAAAGGCAGTACCTGTTACCCTGAGAAACCTCGGTATAACAGCACCTCACCCAGACTGAGGGTCAGAGAGGTGTTCCTGAGAAAGAGACTTGAACTGGGGCCTGAGGGATGAGGATTTAACTAAGTTAAAAGGGGATGGGAAGGAGCACTCTGGACATGTGAGAACAGCATGTGCAAAGGCCCTGGGGCAGGAAAGTCCTTAAAATATCCACAGAACTGGAAGAAGGGCAGTGAAGCACTGGAGGCAGTGGGTGGTAGTGCTGGCGTTGGAATCCAGGTCCGCAGGCCAGCTTTCCTCTCCATCCCAGCCACCTCCACTGCAAAAGCATTTCTTGTTTTCCCTCCCCTGTTCCTATGTATGCTGTGCTCACGCGTGAAGTAATGGAGACCAAGGCAGGAATAAACTCCCATACTGCCATTGTGGTAGAGGCATAAGGCATTTGGATGCCAGAAGTTTGGGGTGCTTATCCCCTCAGCCCCCTTCCTGGTATCCTACCATATAGCCTGGGCACCCCAGAAGTAATAATGATGGTCATCATCTAGCCTTGTTCGGTAATCCTCATAATGACGACTTATTCTCACTCTACAAATGGGGAGATAGAGGCACAGAGAGGTTAAGTATATTGCTCAAGGCTACACAGCCCATAAATAGCAGAGCAGGGATTAAGACCCACACGGTGAGATCTTACCCCTTCACCACATCTCCTTTCTACTGCCAGAGCCCTTTGTCTTGAAGGAAAGGAACCCTTCAATGGGGCTCCTGTTCCTGCCATCCCTCTGCCCTACCCCCACTTAACTACCCATGAGTCCCCCCGTCTGTTTAGGGGGAAATCGTGGGGCTGTCCCATCTCCCATGAGCCCTCATCAGTGTGACAGATCCTCTGTCTGCCTCATAGTCATCTATCAAAATCCGACAGGCCACAGAGCCATTAGGATCCTGTTTGACTTGGCACGGGAGCCCCAAGCTATTAATTCAACACACTGTCTGGTGTAATTATCTTGGCCTGGTTATCATCTGTCCGTCTCCCCCTCACCTCTCTCCTCAGATGGTTTTCCCTCTGCTGAGCGTCCAACATGGGGGGCTGGGACTCCCCCTCCTGAGCTTAACCTGTGTCCTTACCTGTCAAAGGGGGTCACCTTTACTCCTCCCCCACCACCTCACAGTAGCCCCGAGAACCTGATGTAAGATATAGAAAGGATTGGTCCCACAAGTGCCATAAAGAGTCGGGATTCTGAATTCACAACTTATCTTACCACTCACAGGCTGTCCTAAAGGGGGGAGGAGTTAATTCACACCAAGTGCTTAGAATATTGCCTGGCACACAGGAAGCATGACAAGTGCCTTAGCCAGCACATCACCCATGACCTGCTTTAAAGGGGCGGCTGCTATTCAGCTAGAGCTAATTGATGCCATGCGTTGTCGAACCTTGAACTATTTAAGAGAAACTTGAAATCTGGGTTTGTGGGTGCTCTCTCTGCTTTTAAATGTTGTCAATCAGCTGAAATAAACTATGCAGGGCCAACTAAATACCTCTGGGGACCATTACTGTCCCATGGGCCACCACTGGGGACATACGGACTCACCCCTCTGTGCAGTCCTGAACCTTTGTTTATTTCTTCACCCCTGGCCCTTCCTCTCTCATCAAGCTCCTTTCTCTCTCCTGAGAGGGTGGCCTGGTCACCTGCCATCTTATCCCTGTCAGATGCATCATATTCTGCTGAACATGATAATAAACACTTGGTCAGGCACAAGGGCTGGGGTGCCACATGGACTTCCCCAAAGGCCACTTGTCCCCTCCCATGTACCTCCTGGAACTTTCCCAGTTGGGTTGTTAGTCCAGTTGGCCAGTTGGGGGCAAGAGAAGGCTCTTCTCTCCCTCAGAATGATCCATCTCTGGAGATCCTGAGTTCTTCAAGCTCCAAACTGACCCAGCAGGTGGGCCTCACAAGCCCTCAGGATGGTAGCTGGACGGGACCTCAGTCCCCAGGGACTAGGGCACTGCCTGTGGCTCTAGCCTTGTCTTCTAGAAGCCCTGCCTCCCAAGGTCCAGCCCAGTTCAGAGTAAGACAGAGTGGAAACAGCTGGACTCCCATGGTCAGACAAACCTGGGCTCACATCCCAGTGCTACCCCTTGCTGAGCCTTGTCTCCCTCACCTCACCTAGGAGATGGAGCTGCCTCGAGCACCCATCTCATGGGCGACTGCGGGTGCGAGCTCAGCACATACGGAAAGCCTGCCTCAGAGTGGGTCCTCAAAATAGGAGGCACTTGTCCTCCCCATCTTCCCTTCACACCGGCCTTGAGGCTCCCCAACACCAGTCTCAGCTCAGGCTCCTGAGAGAGCCAGCTGTGTCCTCCTTAGAGAACATGGGTCCACCCTGAACCCAGGCTTCTTTTTCCGCCCAGCAAACTTGACAAGACATCCTGGAAGGAAAACCCCAAGGTCCCTTATGTTCCTCCAAGGGGCCCAGCACATGACTTAAGTCGCTAACTTCCTGCGTCCTCTCTTTCACCCAACGTTTCTCCAAAGCTGTGAGAAGAGAAGCGTGAGGGAGGCAGGCTGTCCACAGTGGCAGAGCCCTGCCAGACCTGTAAATGCAGGTGGAAGAATGAATGAGGAATGTCATCTGTTCTTCATCACAGCCATGGAGGGTGGGGGCAAGGCACAGCTAGTCATGCCCACCGATGGATGAAGAAGCTGAGACATGGTGTACAGGCCGTACCACCTGGACGATCTCAGACACAGGAAGACCAGACATGGGTGGCAGAGTATAACCTTCGGGACTCTGGGCATCCTGAAAAACAGCTGGAAGCCCAGGTTCTAAAACAATCTCCACCCAGGCCTGCCTCTCTGATCTGCCTGCCTTCTGTGCGCCCACTGACCTGTGTGTGTTTCCTCCCCACAGGGCCTGACGGGTCCCCGAGGACAGCCGGTTGGTACCTCGTCCTAATGTTCCTCACCAAAGAGGCTTCGGGCTGCTGTGTCCTTAGCTTCAGTTTCTAATTCTCTCATTTCCGTCTCTTTGTAGGGACCTCAAGGACAAAAAGGAGAAAAGGTAAGCCTGATGGAGGTTTTCGAGCAGTTTCATCTCAGGAAACAGTGCCCTGATAGGTAGAAAGGGGTCCAGAGTAGTTATTTTTAAGCTTTAGTTCTTATCAGCAGAATCAGGGCATCCGCCATGGCACTGAGGTACATGAGAGAGAAAAGGGGAGCTGCTCTGGATCATAGTCTGTTCTTGGGGTGGGGGTAGGGGGTGGGTGGCCTGGAGTCTGGCCCACCTCAGCCTCTTTCTCAACCCCTCCCACCTTCTACCCCCACCATTTCCCATGAGCCTCTAGGATTTTGAGGTATCAGTGTGTAAACCACTAGCCCGGCCCCCTTTCTGGTCTCCCCCACTTTCCCGTCTCCTTGAATATCTGATGGAGCCTCTGCTGGGCTTGGCCCTGGGCAGATGGTACAGGGACCTGGCATTCCCAGCTCAGAGCTGTCTCCGAGGACCCCATTACCCACAACCTGCCTTGCTGTCTACTGTTCCCATCTCAGGGTTCCTGTTCATGGCGGTTGGGTAGACCCCCCCAGAGGGTCAACCTTTCTGGAAGACACCTCCAGCCAGGCTGCAGTCATGGCAAGTGTCCATGGTGGCAGAGTCCTGTTCTAGGTTCCATGAGGCCACGTGCAAGCAGGCCCTGGGGGTTTCTACCCCACTGCTAGTCAGGGGTGAGGGAGCGAATTCATTCTCCTGCCTCAGAGAGCTCAGTCCAGGACCAGAGCAGGGCTGGCGGGTGATAAGCATGCGTGCTGTGTCCACAAGTCCCGAGTGTGTCCCTGAGCCACAGCCCACCACCAAGTGCCTAACACCTTCCTCTCCTTCCCTCTCTTCCAGGGTCAGTGTGGAGAGTACCCACACCGGGTAAGTGAACCCCTAAAACGGACCCTTCCTAGGGTATAGCCCCCAACTCAGCTTCATCTCCCTGGGGGCCCCAGCACCTACAGAGCTTAGGAACATACAGCCTCCTCTCTGCTCAGCAGCCAGAGCAGACGTCGTGGGGGTGGCGGTGTGTTTGCCCAGCCCGGGAGTGTGCCTGGGGGTCAGTATGTGTGTTTGTGCAGAGCCAGTCTCGAGCGCTCCTGTTTCCTTCCACCCTCTGCCCCCGTGCGTGTCTTCTCGTATCTGCCCTCTGCTGACTGGGCTGCGAGTCTCCCAGCAGGTGTGTATCTGGAACTCTGTGTGCCGGCTGTGTGTCACCGTCTCTATAAGGCCATGTGGCTTGTGTGTCTATGTGTCTGACACCCTACCCAGTGTGTGTGTGTGTGTGTGTGTGTGTGTGTGTGTGTGTGTGAGAGAGAGAGAGAGAGAGAGAGAGAGAGAGAGAGAGAGAGAGAGAGACTTTGTGTGCATGTCTGGCTGCCTTCCCTGGCTGAATCAAAGGGACTTTTGGGTTAGTCGTTGTTTCAGATGACCAGATGGCCCAACCTCCACGGTAGGAGATAATTGGGGGCAGACTATATCAATTCAAAGGTAAAATCTCTGCTTTGCCTCTTCAAGAAGAGGACACTCTTTCCAAGCAAGGTGGGGGATTTCAGGGCTGAGATGGTCTCCCAATGCTCCCAGCCCCCACCAGCTCCTTCCTTTTCCTGGCTTTACCCCAGAATGCAGAGCCCCAAAACTGTAGTCACCCTGCAAGAACCTGCAAATGGTGCGCCAACAGCAGAGCCATTCTCGGCACAGGGAGAGTGAAGGTGTGCACTGCTTCCTCTAGGGAGAGACCCAGTGAGCCGGGATCAAGAAAATATTCCTTGTTTTATGGATCATACTCTTAGACCTGGGCATACAGACTAAGGAGGGCTGGCACCTTTAGTGTCCATCCCCTGTCATGGGCCTCATTGTACCCAGAAACACACACGGTGTGGCTCGCTGGCCACTCACCCCTGCCACACAGTGGGAGCCGAGATAAACACAAGCCAGGCTCAGAGTCCACTGAGCTCCAGAAGGATCTTGCTAGCAGAGTCCGGTCAATCCGACTCTGACCCCTGGGTTCCTGGGCCAGGGAGAGGACTCGGGGAGTCCTCTTGAACATGAATAGCTGGAGTGGGGTTGAAGCCAAGGCTAGACTGGGCCTGGGCAGGGGGCACAGACCGGCAGCAGTGTAGACACAGCCAGCCTGTCAACGACATGTGCTCCAGAGACGCAGGGGCCCTCGTGTTCCGGCCAGCCTGATCCTGATACAATAATAGAAGGTCAGCTGTGTTTATTTGAAACGATGGCCTCATAGGATTGTTATGTTGCCCGAAAGAAAGACAGCATCCCCCAGCGCAAAAGACAACACAATTGCAGATGCTTTGGCAGCGTGTCCTCCGTCCTGAGTGAACGCATGAGGGTGGTGGGAGGAGCGGGCTCTCTGCCCCTCAGCCCAACACGAGAAGAGGGAACGGGCAGGGCTGGAAGGCTCCAGAAGCACCTCGGCCACAGGGCACAACAAAACACGGCTTTATGACCATGGCAGTGCGGGGTACAAGTCAGGCAGGGGTGAGAGCAGATTCTTAAAACGGACCCAGATGGTGGGCAGGGCAAGGCCGCTGGCACCCTCTGTTTATTTGGAAGTGAGTAGGAAAGCAGGGGGCTTCTGGGGCAAGTGGTCTGTTGGCTTTCTGAGGGGTCTGCAGGCATGGTGGGACAGCATTCCTCCAGGTCCACAAGATACCAAGAGATACTCCCTGCTTCTGTTCCAGCCTGCAGCACCCCAGGGAGGGATGGGAGTGGGTGGGATGGAGTCCCTGGGACAGGGAGCAGAGGAGCTGGTGTCTGTGGGCTCTGACATTCACTCTCCCCGTTGCCCTATCTCTGCCACTTCCCTTCCCCTCTCACACCAGGAGTACCTAAGCAGCACTCTAGCAGCTCTGCGCTCCAACCAGATAATTACCCTGAAGGTTTGTAGGTTGTGGAAGGTCTCCTGGCCCTGCTTTGCTGAGAGGCTCCCTGGACACAGAGCCGAACATTGCATGTTCTCAGGCCTCTAGTGGGAGGGGGTGGGGTTCTCGGTGTAGTAGCTTCCCATGAAGGCAGCAGTGACCCGGAAAGGCCACGATTGGGTTCCCGAGTCCCCAGCTGGGCACATTCTCAGCCCAGGTGGCCCCTGGCTCTTAACATTAATCCCAGGGGCCTCATGTGAGTTAAAATACTTTCAGAAACAAGAGGTTGACTATATGCCATCTTTGTTTTCGCATGGGTTCTAACTGCTTCCTGAAGCTTTGGGGTGCTCAGCTTCAATGGGTAGAGAGAGACTGGAAGCAACAAGAATTTCCAGACATGAAAATCACATTTGATAATGTGACTGTAAGTTGCGTCCACCAAACAAGTGGTTGAACATGTCAGAGACATCTTTGCCCAGCCTCTATTTTCCAAGACCTCCAGCCCCAGGGTGAGACCTCAGTAGCACTTATCTTGTGCCCACACTGGCCACACCCTCAGCTGGCTCAGCCCCTTGGGAGGCCGGTTTGGCACTGCCCTTGACCACCTCCCCAGATTCGCTGACACCAGCCTTTCTCGTTCAACCAAAAAAAGAACCCAGAGGTCTCCGCACACCAGCCTGACTTCAAGTACCAATTTAGCTGGTCCTGTGGCTCCTTACCTAGCCAAAGCCTCTGAGTCTGCTGCCCTCAGCCCAGCAGCCTCTGTCTACAACCAGGGAGGGGCGGGGCCCGCAGTGCAATGTTGCGCCACGTGTCAGGCGGCCTCTTCAGTCCAGTATGGCCATGGAAGGCAGGTCCAACCAAGGAGGGCCACTCTCCCAGTCAGGGGGGTGCTGCTGGCCAACACTGGAAGGGCCACACCTCCTTCTGGGGATGGTGTACCATCCAAGGGCAAGCTCAGTGCTGCGCCCCACAAGCTGCAAGAGTGCCTCGTCCACACCGCCCCTCCCTGTGCCTCACACTCGCTAATCTCTCTTCTCTCTTCCTCTCCTTCGCCCCCTCTTGGCCGTCCTGCCTTCCTGGCGACTCTCGGCATCCTCCTGAACACCTGCGATCTTTGGCCTTTGCCCCCTGGCCTTCCAACTCATCTTTCTCCTCAGCTGCTGCCTCTCCTCAATTCAGTGCGACTGGCTCCACCCCCAGTCATAAAAAGGCGGACCTTCCAGGTAGACCCCTTCCCTTTGCCCAGACCATGCACACGCATGTGTGGCTTCCCCAGGGGCTTGGCAAGTCTCTGGGCCCTGACAGGCCAGCGGGGGCTTTAGACGAAGCCAGAACATCACTCTACTTTGGTTAAATTAGACAAAAATGGACCCATGAGTGCCATATCCATGGAAATACACAACACCAGGCCCAGCAGATCCACAACTGCCCCCACACCATTACTACTCATAACAGCCACCAACAACAGCCACTACTGGGTGCCAGCCACTGCATTACACATTTTACAGGCCTGGTTTTATCTCATTCTCTCAACAGTTTTATGAATTCGGTATGGTCATCCTTATTTCACTGATGAGGAAATCAAGGCTCAGAGATGTTAAGTAAGTTGCTCAAGGTCACATAGTAAATTGCAGAGCACCCAGGTTCTTTGCCTCTTACTAGCTGTGTGATTTGGGGCAAGTTACTTAACCTCTCTGTGCCTCAGCTTTCTCATTTGTAAAATAAGGATAATAACAGTTCCTACTGCACTGTTGTGTATGCAAAGCACTTGGAATAGTTCCTGGCACAGTTGAAGTGCTAATTGAGTCTCAGAGAGAAGTGAATTTGTGCCCGAGGTCATCCAAACAGCAAGAGGCAGGATGGGAACTGGCAGCCAGGTCTTCAGCCCTCATACCCATGGCTTCCAATTGGCCCTACACTCTTTATATTTAGAAATGCAGAGTGCTTAGCATCTGATCGTTTGTAACATGGGTTTGAGGAATGAGAAAATTTACAGAGGGAGTGTAGCCCACAACCAACAGGTGGAATCATTGTGAGCACCTTCTTCCTTTCTTACTTACTCAAGGAGGCAGGGATAGGACCAGATCACAGAGAACAAGAGGCCATAGGCTCAGGGATCAGGTGAAGGCAGTGCAGCTTGATTCTAGGCCAGGCCCCACGGGTTCCACCCATGCCTGTAGCTTCCCTCACACTGCATAGAGGGCACCCCCAAGGCCACGGGGATACTGGAAATGGCAGGGCTCTGGATGCACTCTGAAAGCCTGACAACAGGACCTGGAGCTACCATCTGGCCTGACTCAGGAGCCAGGAGCCCAGGGGCCTGCCTGCCTGTATGTCAGGCACCTGATTGAACAAGGCTGAAAAAAATCAGTCCAATTAACAGCTAAAAATACAGAGGGACACGTGATGCATGTGCTACCCGAGCCTGCATATCTCATGACACCAGCCAAGTCCTCGAGAGTCTTCGTGTGCGCCGAGCGCTTACCCGGGACATGGCTGTTCAGGGGGCCTGCTGGCAGCTCAGAGTGGCACCCGGCCCACCCCACTGTCATCCACCCTCCTGTCACCCTCCCCTACCTGTGCCAGACTCCATTCCAGAAAAGCTGAGTCCTTGCTTTCAGAGCAGCCATTCACCCCAGCCCCTAGCAGCCATCTCCTGGCTTAGTTGTATTAGCTGCTATTTGCTGAGCCCTCGCTGAGTTCCAGGCACTGTTGTAAGAATTCTGTATGGATTATCTCATGGAATCCTACACCAGCCATGCAGCGGTGGAGGTGCCATCATCATCCCCACCTTACAGATGAAGAAATTGAGAGGGGCCCAGGCAGGTTACTGCCTCCCTTTTCAAGAGTAAGGGGTGGGCGAGCCAGAACTTTCTGTACTGCCCTGACCTGGTTTCCAAAGTAGAAAGAGAAGAATAGGGGCCCCTATTCTGTCTGCTGCAGCTTCTGCCTGGAGAATAAGGTTTTTATGCTGTCAGCCATCGTGGGATGTAAAAGGGCTTGTCCATTTCCTATCAATAAACCAATATTGATTTTACAGACTCTGTAAGGTGCTTAAACACTGGGTCTAACATTAGTTGAAAGAGGAAACCTTATAAGAGATATAATGTGCTTAGCAGATGGTGCTGGAGGCCACTTCCAAAGTGCAGAAAGTTGGTCGGTGAGCAGTTTTGCTGGGGGCTTATTTAGAATAAATGGGAACACTGGAGTTTTGAGTTGGGGTCCTGGCTCCCCCCTGAATTCTCCATGTGACTTTGGTCAGGGAGCTCAACTTACCCGAGCCTCAATTTTCTCTTCTATAAAATAGGACTTATGACCAATTTCTATGCCCGCCTCCTCCTCCAAAGGACACTCTGAGCCCTCAAGTGTCTTCTCACAGGGTGTGGCAGGATGAAGCCCAGACCGCAGAGTGACACTGCTGGGTACCATCTGCCCTATCATGTCCCAGCCAAGAGATGGCTCAAGCAAAGTGCTGCTAAAATCTTCCAGTTCTCATTCTGAGGCTGTGCACTCCTCTTTATAAACATCATTTCCATTTGCAGCAAGCATCGTCAGCTCCCTTTTTCATACAGGGAAACAGAAGTGTCACAGAGCCTTGCTGAGATCCCCCTGAGCAGGATGGGCTGGCCTGGGACTCCGGCTGCCTGTGTCCCCCTGCACCCCAGCCTGGAGCTCTCACACGGGCCAGGCTGTTTTGTATTCATCTGTCTGCAGGGATGGCTTCCTTATCACAAGAGCTGATCCCAGATCATCCCTGGAGAGGTCACTTAGAAAATAACATCAACGCATCAGGGTCTAGGTCTAGGATGACTCTGACTGGCTCTCAGCCCGCAGATCTGGGTCACATGGACCAGACTCTCTCCTCCTCCTGAGGGAACACGGTGCCGCCCCTTTCTTTGTCCTGGGGGCAGGGCAAAAGAATAATAACCGTGACCTCATGCAGGCATAAAGCACTCACCAAGCTAAGGGTTTCAAGCTCGTTGTCTGCCGAGGCCAGGCAAGATCACATAAGTGACAGCAGCAGGCTGCACAAAGGAAAGGTAGGGAGGGTGGGGACTGAGGCAACTGGAGAACTCACCCCCTGCCTGATGGGGGCGCCACTCCCAGATCCAGATGATAATTGCCCCCAAGAATGCGGGCATAGCTGCCAGGGCTCCCAGTTTTTCACCAGACGCTATCAATCTAAAACTTCAAATCCCTTGCCCAATTGTTTAGTAAGCCAAAAAAACTTCTTTGACCTCTGACCTAAGGATCCCATTTGATCCACTGGGCCAGATAATCAAAGATGGCAAAAAGCTGCAACAGAAAAGAAGGAACTGCTGTTCTCATTTGGTAGCTGAGAGGCCAGGGCATAGACAGAGGATGTGACTTGCCACACGGAGGGCGCAGAGGCAGGCCCAGGTCTCAGACCACCTGGGCTGGTCTCTGGCCCTCTGACCAGGCTGGGAGCAGACCTTCGGGGCCCAGGGTCACCTCACTCACTCCTCTGCCTCTGCCACATGCAGCAGGGCTCTTATCCTGGGGAACCAGGGCTCTTGCAGCAAGTCCTCTCTGGAAGCCCCTCCTCTTGGGGGCCTAATGCCTTGGCCGTCTCCTTACTGCCACCAGTCCTTGCATGTAGTCACCATCATCACGCCACCACTGCCTCTCCACCAGAGCCCACACAGGGCCTTCACCGGCTGCATGGCACTGGGGCGGGAACTGCTCTGCAGCCCTGGGAGTCTCTCTCTAACACTTGTTTCCATAAACCTCAGGGTGAACAGGGCCAGGCCGGCATCCAAGGCCCACCAGGGCCACCAGGCCCCCCTGGACCAAGTGGACCTCTGGGGCATCCAGGACTTCCGGGGCCCATGGGGCCACGTGTAAGTATCTCCTTCCTCTCTCCACCACCTCCTCTCCTAAGATTTGTTCCAAGAATTCTCTGGAAGCATCCAAACTTTGCATAACCAATGAGAATCTTGTTCCCCGCTGAACGGCAGAAGCACCTTTGCAAGATCATTGGAGATAGGTGGCCTGTACAAGGAGCTGGCCGTTCCTGTCCTAGTCACTTGTTGCACCCTGGTTCTGAAAACACACCTCCTGGGTCCATGTCCTCTACTCCAGTCATTGCCTTGCAGGGAGGAACTCACTACCAGGCTGCTCCTCTCCCAGTCTCAGCAGAGAGGAAAGAAAATTCCCAGGGCCACCTTTGATGGCTGGCCCCTGACTCCTGGGCTTAGGAAAACCTGAATTGAGGGCAGTGAGTTCTGAAGGAGGTAGCAGGGGGTATCTAACCGCGGGCACCCCTAACAAACATGCCTTTTCCGGTGTGTGCAGGTTTCACACTCCTGGGCCACCTTCCAGCTGAGCTGGAGGCCTGGTCAACCAGGAGGACCCTGCGTGGAGTCTGAGGATTGGCAGGGACCATGGCTGGGAGGGGGCCAGGGAGTTCACCAGGCAGGGAGGGCCCAGGGATGCAACAGGCCCCTTCAGGCAAGACCACATGCAGGTGACAATTCAAGCCCACTGGTCCCCAAGTCACCCATTTCCAAGCCCTGGCCAACACTTGACTCTTTCTCAGCCCAATTTAGTGCAAGAAAGCACCAACACAGGAGAATAACTCGGCTGACACCTAGACTTTGGAAAAAACGGGTTCTCTACCCAGAGCTAAGACATGTCATGTGTTACTGGAGGGACAGGGTTAAGGACAAAATCTGTTTAATAGTGTTTTCCCCACATGGCTAAAAACAAATAAACAATAAACAAACCTGTTTTTCTTTCTTATGACAAAAGCATCATACATTCAATTGTGAAAAATTTGGAATATAGACAAAGAAAAAGTTTTAAATGGTCTATATTTTCCATATCCAGAGTTTACCATCATTAACATTTTGGAGAGTCCTTCTATTTTTCTTCTTAGACACATCTGCACCTAAACATGTCCAGGTTGATAATGTTCTAAATAATATGACAGTTTGTATCCTGTTACTTTTCCATTTACCATCGTAAACCATGCCCTTTCCTACGTCAGAGTCTCCCATTACATGTCTCTTAGGGCCGCTGGGCCTATTGATAAGATAGTTAATGAGTTCCCTTCTGTGATCTATATCCTTGAACATAAATGTCTGCACTTCTCTGATTGTGTTGCTCTGGGATAGATTCCAAGAGGTGGAATTGCTAGGTTACAATGTACCTGCCAAATAGCCCTCAATGAGCACAACCGGATTCCAGGTCACTCAGTTTCACAGCTGGGCCCCTCAGCTGCCCCGGCTGCCAATGCTGAGGCTCACCATGGGGTCCCGCTAGGCTGGGCGACAGCTCCGGCTAACCAGCACCCAGCTTGGCTGGAAGGTGGCACAGCAGTGAGAAACCTAGCTTGCTGGGGGGCTTGGCTCTCCTGCCCAGCTTGACCCCCACAACAGATTTTAAATATTTTCATAATTTCTCCCAAGACCCCAGGGAGGGAGATTAGTCTCATTTCCATGGGTTTCTAGATGGGAAAAATGGAAAACCTGAAAGGAAGTGAAATTTAGGGAATCGAACCAAACCAAGCTGAGAAAACCAAAAAAGTGCTCAAAATTCACTTTGCTGACTGCCCTCCGCCAAACACATTGGGCTCCCACTCACTGAACCCAAGCCAGGTGGTTTTCTTTGTTAGGTTTTTTTATAAAGAAAAAACCCAGAAAGTGTGTTTTGAAACCAATTGAAACAGACCAGACTCAGTCATCATGGTTTCCTGCAGCCCATGTTTGCCATCTAGACCCACTCCCACAACCGCAGTGGAGCCAGCCTTCCCTTCCCTGTCCCTTGGGCTCCTGCAGGCCCTGGGCCCACACCACCTCCCCACTGCTGGCTGCCATGGTCACGGCACCCCAGGGAAGGAGACAGAGGGTTCCTCCACAGCCTGGCAGAACCAAAGGCAAAATCAAGGCTCTACTGGGCAAGGTTGGCTTTCCAGGGAGGGGTCCCAATTACGAAGTGGGCGGGTAGGGATCTGGACCAAACCACACTGTCAATTTAACATGATGCCACTGACCTATTTTCCAGTGGGCGACCACAGAGGAGATGCCCACGGCGCCCACATGGCTCCAGAGAGAGATTCAAGCCTGTTGTCCCCACGTACCCTCAGCAGGTTTCAGATACCCTCCCAGGGTCCTCTAGTCTGTACTCTAGCATGTCCAAAACCCGTTACAGCTATTCAAACACTGCTCTGCCCCCTGGCCTCCACTGTAATCATGGCTAACCTCAACTATTTGCCAGTGGAATCCATGTTCACTCACCTTTTTCTTGCTTCCACAGGGCTTCCCTGGGCCTCCTGGGCCTCCTGGACCAAAGGTGATGGCCCTTTTGAGTGGTACACTGAATGGGTGGGAGAGTTCCCTGCAGGAGGATGGGGAGACAGCATTGGAGAGTACTGAGTAAGGAGCTGAGCGGGATCTTAGCTGAGTGACGGATCACACTTGGCTCATTTCCAAAACACCACCCTCCTCTTGGGAACTGATTACATCCCACCAGGATTTCACTTTTATGTGCTCAGCCGAGCAAGTCCTATGGCTGGTGTAGAAGGTGCAGTTGTACCTCCAAGGAGTTGATAGTCCAGTTGGAAACTCAAGGCTGATGCCCAGGACACTGCCACGACATCCCAGTAAAAGAGTGTTTCATGACGGGTCAGAACTGGAAGGGACCTTCAGGGTCATCTGGTCTCTTGTGAAACCCTACCTGGAAGCCCGCGATGTCACACAGATTCTCCCTTTACAGCTGGGGACCCTCGGGCTCTGGGGACAAGACGTTACAAAGCCAAACCATTTTACAAATGTGGAAGCTGAGGGCCCTGAGGCCACATGATTGGTCCAGGTTGACAGAAAATGGGTGGTGAAACCAAAATTGAAACTCAGGCCTCCTGCCAAGTTGACCCTTCCCACCATCCCTCTGCCTCTGCCAGGCAGGGACTTGTTCTGAAGAGTAGAGTAGCTTCTGTTACTGTTCCAAGGATAGCTGGAGGTGGAGGTCAGGAGGATTCAGGCTTGAGGAGGAAGAGGGATGGGAATGTGAGGGGAACAGAGCGAGCTGAAGTTTGGCATGGGGAAAACCCCTCTAATGGTCTTCTCTTTATTTTCCCAGGGAGACCCGGGAATTCAGGGCTACCACGGCCGGAAGGTAAGAAGGAAGGGACGGTGAGGAGCCCACCCCTCACTGGTAACCCAAGTGGGGCCTCACCGTGGAGCACACAGGGTGCAGACTTTGTTGCGCACACACACTTTTGCATACACGCTCACCCAGCATGAGCCTCATGGTGCTTATGAGGTTGGCTGGACAGGGGTTTATGTCTCCATTTGGGGAAGGAGGACACTCAGGGGGATCAGGGCCTTGGGCAAGTCAGTGGCCCAGCTGGACCTCAGCTCCAGAAAGGTCTCCTCCCTGCCAGCCTAGGTGGCCATGTCCATACCGAAGCAGGTCAGGTTCTCATTGCCCCCCCACCCCCCACCCCCCGCCACTCTGAGTGCCTGGGAAGTGGAAGCCAGGCAGAGCTGCACGCTGAGCATGGTGGGGGAATGGGTGGGGGAGGGACGGTAAGTCCCAGCCTGCTGTCTGGCAGCTCACAGACCAGAGAGATGGGATTCCTGCACAAATAAACCTGGTGAAGGCAGACCGTGCTAACTGCTACCATTGCAAAGCACTGTGTGAATACGGGGGGTGGGGTGTGTGTGTGTGTGTGTGTGTGTGTGTGTGGAGAGATTAATTCCACATTGACAGGAGTTTGGGAAGTCTCCTGGGAGAAGACAGCCTATAAACTCAGTCTTGGTGAATGGGTAGGTGTATCAGTTATCTAGTGCCATGTAACCAATTATTGAAACTTACTGGCTTAAAATGACAACTTATTTCTCCTGATTCTGTGGACTGGTCATCCCGGAGTTCCACTGGTCTGCCCTGGGCTCACTCATGCAGTCGCATTAGACGATGGATGGTGATGGGTGGAAAGGCCAGAGGGGCCAAGACAGCCCATCCACATGTTTGGTGATTGATGCTGGCTGTGGGCTGGGTGCCTCTGTTCCCCTCCACGCAGTCCCTTAGCCGCCATAGACTACACAGGTTTCCTTACAGCATGGCAGTCGCAGAGCACTGTTCAAAATGGGCAAGTCCCAGTGAGCTTGAATCACATTTTCTGATGTCCTATTGGTCAAAGCAAGTCACGTGGCCAAGTCATTCGGGTCAGTGGGGTTGCTGGGAGGGGACTTAGCCTCTATTTCTCCTTCTTGTGGGAAGAGTAGTAAAGCATTTGTGGCCATTTTTAAATCCACCACTGTGGTCCTTCAACCAGCAAATTTTAAGGGAAATGGCATTTTAGACAGGGAAACAATTTGAGCCAAGGCCCAGCGGTGGTCACACCAGTAACGATGGTAACATAAAAATAATCTTAACAAAAGCCACCAACTTGCTGAATGCCTACCATGTGCCAGTCTGTCCTTCCACATAACCTGCATTGTTTCTGATCCTAAGACCACGCTATGAGGCAGGTTCTTCTATTTACAAATGAGGGAGCTGAGGCTTGTAAGTGACAGAGCAGGAATTCAAATCCAGGTCGGGGTCTTTCCCATGGTAGCACCTGCTATAAGGAGCCCATTCGACTCTCCAGGCCCCGCCTGGTAATCCTCCGGAGCCTTGCAGGAGAAGAAAAGAGGCAGGGAGGAAAGGGGGAGAAAAAGGGGGAGGGATTTTGGAAAGGGAAGAATCACTCTAGAGAAGCACATTCCCCACACTCTGTAATAGGGTAGCTGCCATCACCACAGTGTTTTACGGGTGCTTGGTGAGTGAAATGGCGAGACCTGAGAGATCTTTAATTAGTTCTGCATAAACTGAGAAGTTTGTATTGTGTCAGGAAGTGGAAATTATAGCCCCCGCGTTTGCCTCCATCTACTCACGCAGACTCACAAAATTTACTGCCTCCTGGTGCAGCGCAGAGTCGGTTTTCCCATTAGCAGCCAGGCCAGCTATCTCAAGCTGCAAAGAAACTGACTGCAGGGCCAGCAGAGGTTTCCCTGGGCTCATGGCGGGCAATACTTGCCACTGGCATCCATACCATGGTGGGCATCTGTACTCTCCTGCCAATTAGAAGTCTGTTTCATCCAGAAAGGAGCTTGGGGGGTCTGTTGTCCTGAGGATGGAGAGAGCTCAGCTTAGGGCTGCAGTGTCACGATGATAGAGGGCCTAGTCCCATGAGCGTGGCAAACCTGGACTCAGACTGAGGGACAAACCATTCAACCCTGGCTGCCCTGAATTTGCAGAGAATACCAGTGTGGTCCTGCTGGCAGAGAGGCAGCTCCTGACCCCCAGGAAGCCTGCTTTGGGGTGAGAAGGCTCAGGACTGCTAAAGAAGGCTCCAGCATGGAGTAAGGAGCACATTTCTCCAGCATGATTAGGGGTAGCAAGTGCTGATAGCTACCTTGGGTAGGAGGGAGCTCCTCGTCACCAGAGGTATTCAAGTAGAGGCTGGAAACTACAGGTCTGAGATGTGTTAAGAGAAGCATCTATATCAGATGGGAGATGGGATTAAAATCCCTTCCAGCTCAGGGAAGCTCTGGCTTCCTGGGGACAGAGTTGGCTCTATATCCCCTAGAGAGGCAGAGCCCTGGCTTTATAAGGAGTCTTGGTCTCCTTGAGCCTTTGTCCAGGTCTTTCCTCACCCACATCCAGGCTTGTCAACAAACATCACCATCTCAAATCTCATGAGGAACCAAGAAAGGCCTTCTCCCTTGTGCTCAGCTCTTGTTCTTCCCCCTTTCTCCCTGCCAGACCAACCCCTCTGACCTCCCCCAATGGCCTCTTCTCCTAGAATCTGCAGGGACTGTGAGGCTGCTAGCTCCCTGCCCCACACTGCCTCTCAGGGTTTCTGGAAGGTTCCTGCTGCCTCCCCTTCTCCCAACCTGTCCTTGCGTCTTTTCAGTAGACGCTCCTGGAGCCACTAAGTGGTCTCAGCACCCTCATCCCTGTGCTGGCCCTCATTCTGCTGGGACTATGCTCCTGACAACACCTCAGCCACAGCCTCTTTATCCAACAGAGGCCAGAGGATGTGCGCTGGGGACTCATGGCCAGCAGCCGAGGGTCCGCCCCCAAGGACTTGGGGTCATTCCTCAATGTCAAGCAATTCTCAAGAGGCCTCCAGTGCCCTTCCCACTGCCCCAGCTGCGGGAGCAGTGGGCATCTTGACGCCAGTGATCACTATGCCCAGGCAAAAGTTTGCTTCCCATCAAAACTCTGAGATGAAGAGGCTGGTGCTTGAGGACAAGTGCAGCAACACTTCCCATCTCTGGTTTAGCCAAAGTTTTCATTCCCCATCTCATTCGGTCCTTACCACGGCCTAGCTCATTATCCCCGCTGCACAGATGAGCTCAGAGTGGTTAATCCTTTGCTCAAGGTTGTACAGCTGGTGAACGGTCATGCTGGAATTGGAAGCTAAGTCTCATGAGTTCAAGCCCAGAGGCCAGCCTTCTCACCCTGGTGCAGAAGTGAATGTCTGCTCAGGGGGATCTCACGCAGGCTGAGATAACTGTGTACAGACCACCATCTTATGTGGTTTTTCTGGAATGTGGAAGGTTTTCCCCCAAGCGCCCTTCCTTTGTCCATCAGTTCTCTCTGTTCCTCTTTCCCCCGCTCTCTGCTCTCTGCTTGGAGTGAGGCATGGGGAGGAGGCACTGACATGAAGGGTGACCCAATTACAGGTGCTGAAAGGAGTTTGCTCCCACCCTAGGGAAGAGCCAGTGGTGGCCGGTGGGAACACCAAGCTGCCCCATGTGCTCAGGTTGTGAGGGGGACCTGCAAGCCAACTGAGGGACCCTCCACATCTGCTTCAATTGCTGTGTCCCAGCAACTTGTCACATATGCAGGGAGGCCTTTCTTTCAGCCCCAGGTAGAATTTAATGCTCAGCAAAGATGTTTCTCAGCTCTGTGAAGTTTGCTAACGATTAGTTCCGTCCACCACCCCCACCATCCCAGCAGCTGGACACAGCCTGGCAGCCTCCCAACGTCCAGTCAGGCCAGCAGAGCAGGCTTCCCACCAGCTCCTTAGGATCAAAGCCCAGTCTGGCCAGTGGACCTGTGCTGCCCCACCAGCCCCACTTGGGGCCAGCGCCGCTGCCTAGACACTGCGAGCATTGTTGTGTACCCATGTGGTACCTATTTGATCCAAATTTATGACATCGATCTACTTTAAATATGTTGCAAAACGCAAAGTGTGTTTAAAACATTACAACCCTGGCTCTCTTTCAAGAGGATTGATGAGTATTGTCAGGCTGTATGTGGATCACAAACCTGGTGAGAGCTTATCTCTAAGTGCATCGGAGCTGGGCTGTCAGTCTCAGCAGTGGGGGGGTGCGTTTGATGCATGTGATGGTCTGGGTGTTAAGCCTCTGTCCAGGTTTGCATGAAGGACGGTAGCTAAGCACATATGCCCCTCCTGCACGCTGCCGGCTGTGCGTTTGCAGACCAGAGGAGGCAGGATGTGAGAGCCTTGTGCTAGAGCTGCTTATAACTGCAGTCACTCCTCCTGGAGGCCGCTGGGCTCCTGGGAAACAGGGACTCCCAGGGGAGGAGATCCAATGGGCCCTGCAGTCGGGTGGCTAGGGCCCTCGGACGAGTGTATGTGAAGCAGAAGCTCACCTGCCCGGCACATCTCAGCCTTCAGGCCTCGGCCATACCACCTCCTCTCATCATCATTCCTCAGTCCTACAAAAGGATGTGGTCATTCTGATCTGCCAGTCAGAGCAAGGGGCCATGTGGGTGGACACCCTTCGGCAGAATGAGAGTTAGTGTTATTATACCTACTTTATGGGGCCTCTTCAACGTGCCAGGCTGTGTAAGCAGCACTTTGCATGCATCGTCTTACTGGACCTTTATAACAGCCCTATGAGGTAGATTTTATTCTTATCCCCGATTGACAGATGAGCACACTGAGGTTCACAGAGGTGAATCCCTGAAGGTCTACAGCTAGGAACCAGTGAAGCCAGGTCTGTCTGACCCCAAAGCCTTGCTCTGAATGACTTGACTACCCGGGTCTTTTGAACCCAGGGGGAACCCCATGATTTCCAGCAGGGCTTCCCCACTTCTCCTCCACTAGAAAGAAAGGAGGTAGGAGTTGAGCTGTTTTTCTTCTTGTGAGAAAA